AATCTATCTTTCTTTACCACTTTATCTATGATACTTGAACTGTTATTTTTGTTACACAATAGTCAGTAAGTCATTATGTGTTTTATTAGTTACATTTTATAATTTAATCTGTCTTTCTTACCAATTTATCTATGATACTTGAACTCTTATTTTTATTACACAATAGTTGGTAAGTCATAATGTGTAATATTGGTTACATTATCATAATTTAATCTGTCTTTCTCTACCAATCAATGATACTTAAACTGTAATTTTAATACACAATAGGAGGTAAGTCATAATGTGTATTATTGGTTACATTTTTATAAATTATCCTGTCTTTCTCTACCAATCAATCTGTTATTTTTATAAAAACAATAGGAGGTAAGTCATAATGTGTATTATTGGTTACATTTTTATAGTTTAATCTGTCTTTCTCTACCAATCAATGATACTTGAACTGTTATTTTTATTACACAATAGAGAGTAAGTCATAATGTGTATTATTGGTTGCATTTTGTAATTTAATCTGTCTTTGTCTACCAATCAACGATACTTGAACTGTTATTTTTATTACACAATAGAGAGTAAGTCATAATGTGTATTATTGGTAAAATTTTTATAATTTAATCTATCTTTCTCTACCAACCTATGATACTTGAACTGTTACTTTTATTACACAATAGACAGTAAGTCATAATGTGTATTATTGGTCACATTTTATAATTTAATCTTTCTTTCTCTACTAATCCATAATACTTGAACTGTTATTTTTATTACACAATAGCCAGTAAGTCATAATGTGTATTATTGGTTACATTTTATAATTTAATCTGTCTTTACCAATCAATGATAATTGAACTGTTATTTTTATCACAATAGAATGTAAGTCATAATGTGTATCATTGATTGCATCTATATTTAAATAACTCATGATGTTTTTTACATTTTTTTCTATGATTCAATCTTTCTACGATTCAAAATCTATACTTTATTTTAATTATCTACACTTGTTACATAATAGAGAGTAAGTTGTTTTGAATGATGCATGCCATTAATATTAGTATAGTATCTACAAGATGATACTATTTATGCCAGTACACAATCAAGTGTAATAGAAGATCAATCCATAAAACAAGAATCAGGTACAGGTAGACTATTTATTGTAAGATCAATTTATATGATATGCATGGACAGCCAAATTAGCTACTAAAATTCTATTTTATAGGCAATGAAGGTGAGCTAGCACAAGGTCAATTGGCAAGAGATAGTCAGCAATCAGGTATATAGACCATTATTACATGCACAGTTTTTGTTTAGCTGATTCAGCTTAATTTTGTTCCTATGATTCCAATTAGACTTGTTATTTTGATTACCATAGATAAATTAGCAAGAGACAATGATTCAGCAAGAAAAGGTGATCAAACAGGTATGTTATATTTAAAATAGGTCATTTTTATATAAGCTTAAAGGTGATGTACATGTTGCTGGAAGCAAGTCATTTTTAATTCAAAATAATCTTCCTCAATTACTCAATTGGGAAGAGTATGGTTTGAGGATAACAGTACCAGAAGGAGCTGTTTCACCTTCTGAAATCAATGAAGTATCCATTACTGCTCTTGTTAGTGGAGAGTTTATATTACCAGAGGATTCTGAGCTAGTCAGTGTTGTGTACATTATAACTGTCTCCAAGCCTCTACTGAAACCAGTACTGCTAGAGATACAGCATTGTGTTTCAATTGAAACACCATCTCACGCTAGTTACCTCAGTTTTGTTACTTCCCCTAGTAACCAATGTCCTTTTGATTTTCAGCCAGTTAATAAAGGAAGTTTTCCAGTTGGTTCTCGGTATGGCAGTTTACTCATCTCTGAATTTTCTTCATGGGCCATTGTCCAAACCATTAAGGAATGGTTTAAAAAGTTACGTCACTCAAGTCGTCAGACCACATCTGATGCATGTGTTACAATACCACTCTCTTCTCCAACATTGCCTCCATCACCACACTCTTTGACTGGTACTGATAAAAGCACTTCAACAGATGTAGAAACTGAAAGCCATTCGACACAAAGCATGTCTTATAACTAACTTGATTTTATATTTTAGAATTATTTAGATATAGATGTATTGCCTGCCTCATGGTTTTACTTTGCTCAGCCACTGTATGAGAATAAAAGCCCTGGAAAAAAATGGCTGCTGATATTTCTATTTGGTAAAGATCTTAATGCATTAATAAAGGTATTTTAGTTGTGCTCTATTACAATAATTATAAATCTTTGGCTTTGTTTAGTACATGAATAAAAAGTTCAAGAGAGCAGAGAGTGATCAAGAGTTTTCTTTTCAGTTTGAGAGATCTAATGGATTCCTTGAGATACACACTGACACAGATAAGTGCAGTGAAGGTTGGTCAATAAGTCCTCATCTGGGAAACCCCACCAATGAAGAGTCAATGGAAAACCCCACCAAAGTTAGTGTTTGTATAAAGTAATTAGTGACATGCTTTCTTAGGTAACTAAAGTTAGTCAGAGTACAATTGATGCATATGGACGAATGAATCCTCCATGTTTTCCTCAATGCCGTTTCACAATCACTGCTACTACTGGTAGCAATACTAATCCTGAATTAAGGCATCCTGTAACATTCAAGGGGATCATATCTGAAAATAAAGTCTTTTTAATTGTATTATCAATGGGTATGAAGAGGAATGTGTCATAATTATAATTTACATTGTTAATTTTAGGTGATCATTTAATGCAAGATTCTGTCAAACAGAGCTGTTCAACACAGCAATCTCAAACAGATCCTAAGGAAGTTTTTAGAGAACAATATGGTGCCCTGTTTGATCTTATGACACCTGAAAATATAGCAGCTATTGCTAATAAGCTCTATTCCAAAAGGCTCATTACTGATGACACTTTGCAAGACTGCATGACCGATGCAAGAAGACCAGCTGACAGGGCACATTCTTTGCTCAATGCTCTTCGTGTCACTATTGATCAACCTGGTGTGCTGAAAAAGTTGATTCAAGTCTTGAAAAATAATGAAGCATTCAGATCTATAGCAGAAGAGATGGAACGTGACATTTGACATTGTTTAAAGTAAATTAGACTATGGTAATTTTTACTTGGACTTTTAGTTTTGTTTCTTTTAATTTACTTTACTTTTACCCAGAGATTTAATAAACATATAACGCATAATAAATCCAATTATTATGATGGATACTACTGACCCAAGTAGCATCATTATAGCATTATGATAGTCTATAGTCTAACAAGGAGTCATGGATAACAGCTATTGATCCTAATAGTATTAACAAGGCTCACTACAAAAAACAAAGTGTCAAACAATTGTATGGATATGCTGCTATGAATACATTATAAGAGCTCTACTATAACAGTTAGTATTGCAATGAATGATAAAATCAATCCCATGGCAGGAATTGTCCCACTGGCTCCATTAGAGCCACAGCACACAACTGAACAATTTGACAATATAGTCTGAACTCATTAGAAACATCAATTTCATTCTTTCCTTGTACTTTATTGCATGACGGCGATTGAAGAAAAATGACCATCGCTTTAACAAAATGCTGACAATTGTTAGTGAATACATTGTATTTCCTTGTCCATGAGTTAGTGACTCTACAGCATCTTTATAACTACAATAGCTGCTT